ACATGGTGAATGGTTTTTTCTTTCTTATTTTCTGATGTATTTACCTTACAAATGGACATTGCCTTCTATACTCTTACGTTATCCTCCCTTTATTTTACATAATTGGCAATTCTGCTCCTCTTTTTTAAAATTTTTAATTTTGTGTTCTATTGTCCTTATACATTGGCTAATGGCAGAAGAAATGGCTTGTGTTTTTTCTATATCTGAGGTTGGCCTACTGTAAACTTCTTCATGAAATTGTCTATTCAGTGGAAATAGATCTGTTGATCAGAAATAGGATTTTTGTTGTGACGGATGTTCATTGTTTTGACAGGACAAGTAATCAAGGGATGGGACCAGGGTATCAAGACAATGAAGAAAGGTGAAAATGCCATATTCACCATCCCTCCTGAGCTGGCTTATGGGGAGTCTGGTTCTCCTCCAACCATTCCTCCCAATGCCACCCTCCAGTTTGATGTGGAGTTGCTGTCTTGGGTAAGTGTTAAGGACATCTGCAAGGATGGTGGAATATTCAAGAAGATACTGACTGAGGGGGAGAAATGGGAAAATCCTAAGGACCTTGATGAAGTGTTCGGTAAATCTGGATATCCTTTTGATTTATAATTTACTGCTCCTTAAATTGAATCATTATTAACCATGTGGATGTGGATTGCTTCAATCAATGCAGTCAAGTATGAAGCTAAGCTTGAGGATGGAACCTTGATTGCAAAATCAGAAGGGCTGGAGTTCACTGTTCAGGATGGTAAGTATATTGAATTTGTAGACTTTGACGGTTGTTTTATAGTTACATTATAGGTATGTTCCTGATGTGCAATCTTCTGTGAACAGGTCATTTCTGTCCTGCTCTGGCTAAGGCTGTGAAAACAATGAAGAAAGGAGAAAAGGTCCTTCTCACAGTTAAGCCACATTGTAAGGATCTTTCTTGCATGCAAGTTGTCCTCTTGAAGTATATAGCAATTTTGCTCTGAGAAGTAATTGCTTATTTGGGTTATATTTTTTTGCAGATGGGTTTGGGGAGAAGGGCAAGCCAGCTTCTGGTGATGAAGGTGCAGTCCCACCAAATGCTACATTGCAGATTGCTCTTGAGCTAGTATCATGGAAGACTGTGTCAAACGTAACGGATGACAAGAAAGTTCTTAAGAAGATCCTGAATGAAGGCGAGGGATATGAACGACCAAATGAAGGAGCTGTTGTCAAATGTTAGTTGCAAGTCATTGGCCATCAGAGGCTTGAGTATTCTTTTGCTTGCCAAGTATTGTGTGTAAATTCTTACAATTTGTTTCATGTGCTTTTGGCAGTGAAATTGATTGGCAAGCTACAAGATGGTACAGTTTTCATAAAGAAGGGTTATGATAATGATGAAGAGCTTTTTGAGTTTAAGACAGATGAAGGTACTGCTGCCTATCTGATATATTTGATTTTGAATGGGTATTGTTGCTGCATCATTCTTACTTATCTGTGGTATTTCTTGAGTAGAACAAGTCATAGATGGGCTTGATAGAGCTGTGATGACAATGAAGAAGGGGGAAGTAGCGCTGCTCACGATCGCACCTGAATATGCCTTTGGTTTATCCGAGTCAAAACAGGAGTTGGCTGTAGTTCCCCCCAACTCCTCCTTGTGCTATGAGGTCGAGCTTGTGTCCTTTGTGAAGGTTGGTAATATTATAAGTCTCAAAACGAGTGTATTTTCCAACTGTAAATGGTAAGACCAGGGACATGTTCAAGTGATCATTATCATTTGGTGCCTTCAGGAAAAGGAATCATGGGATATGAACACACAAGAGAAAATTGAGGCTGCTGGCAAAAAGAAGGAAGAGGGAAATACACTGTTCAAGGCGGGTAAATACGCGAAGGCCTCCAAGAGATATGAGAAGGTATCCATTTCAGTGGAACATATTGATTTCACTGAAGGGAAGTTGGTGTTAGTGGCTATGTCACTTAATAGTTTATGATGACCCTTTTTCTCTTGTGCAGGCTGCTAAATACATTGAGTATGATACCTCCTTCAGTGAGGAAGAAAAGCAGCTGTCCAAAGCATTGAAGATCACTTGCAATCTTAACAATGCAGCTTGCAAACTGAAGTTAAAAGATTACAAGGAGGCAGGGAAGCTGTGCACAAAGGTTTGATAGATACTGAATAAAAAGAAGTGTCATTTTCGCTTAAATCAGAGCCCTCTTATGTTGGATCTTCGGGGTCCTCTTGCTAAATTTCATATGAATGTCAACTTGCAGGTGTTGGAAATTGAGAGCACTAATGTCAAGGCACTTTACCGGAGAGCTCAAGCCTATATGAACCTAGCTGATTTGGATTTGGCTGAGCTGGATATCAAGAAAGCACTTGAAATTGATCCTAACAACAGGTATGTTCGAAGTTCTAGACATTTAAGATTCTCATAGGAAGTATTGTCGTGATCTGTTGTTACTTTTGTTGAAGTTATGGGTTTAGTCAATTTGTTGGTTCTGCTTTGTGTTGGCCACCAGGGATGTGAAGCAGGAATATAAAGCCTTGAAGGAAAAGGTAAAGGAGTACAACAAGAAGGATGCTAAATTTTATGGAAACATGTTTGCCAAGTTGAACAAGGTTGAGTCCAATGTAAGCCTCTAGCATCATCTTGGCTCACTTCCTGATAAGCAATATAGCAATATATATATATATATATATACACACACACACACACACACAGACATGCGCGCGTGAAATTGTGAATTGATCCACTATTGTTACAAGTTCTCTTTCACTTATGCAGAAAGCCAGTGCCAAGGAAGCAGAACCCATGAGCATTGACAGCAAGGCGTAAGTGGAGTTCAAGATGGACTTTTGGTGGAGATATTAAAACTGCCTGGTTTTGTGCTGCTCCTATCATGTTTTCCCTTGTTTCTAGGACTACTTGGTCTTTAGGCACAGATAAAAAGGTCGTAATGAGTTTTCTCGTATGGGTTGTCATAGTAATAGTGTTAAGCTATTACATTTGATGATATTTAATCCACAAACTTCGGAGTTTTTGTTTGTCATCCTTTGATCTAAACAGAAATGCTTAATTCCATATGGCCTTCTTTTTAGTCTCTTGAAGGATGTTTAGCCTGTACTGCCCAACCTTTATTAACTACCCTTTGGTGTTTGTCTTTTATTTTGTGTGTGTGTGTGTGTGTGTGTTTTGGGTGGGGGGTCAGAGTTGGTATTGTAGCTACAATAACACCTGTTCAATACTACGATGTTTAGAACTTGCTTTTAAAGTCCTTGTGTGTTGTGCTTGTTGATCTTCTCTGCTGGCGTGTTTGTCTTGGGGATTTTCAGTGGGTCTCAGTCAAATAGAGGGAGTAATTGTCTTTGATGAGGTGTTGTGATTAACGAAAAAAATAATTGTCAGGTGTTTTCTACTGAGGATGTTAGATTGTTGATGTCGTAATTTTTCATCTTCTTTCTAAGTCGTCAAACACAAAATACTATTGAAATATAGCAATGAAATTTATAAATTAGAAGTGTAACAAATACAATTTGAATACCACTAGAACAATAGCAAGGAAATCAAATTTAGATTAAAATAGATATAATTATGCGAAGCATAGATATTGTATTATATAAAAAGGTACAGATTGAAAAGAGTTGGGTCTATGTGATATGGGAGGCATAGAATCATTGTCTTAATATAGTTGTACCTTTTCATGTGAAGATATTAACATATGTATGTAGCTTCAAGATTAAATTCAGATTTAATGTCATATATGTAATGTGCCTAGGATTTATATATACTAAGGAACGGGGTGAATTTGACAAGTATAGAATATATGTGTAGCATAAGGGATAAGAAATTTTATAGACAGAAAAAAGTTAGCATCATCAGGATCAAGATTGGTAGCTTCCACATGGTGAGTGTAAGGTGTATAATTGCTGGATATTGATCTCTGTAGTGAACTCCTTGTAAAATGTTTCCTTCGTTTTTCACTTTTTTGGTATTCACCGTACCGTATTAAAATTAATAGTAGCCATTAATTTTAGTTTAATAATTTGCAATTATTGATTGAATGAGTAATAAAATAATAAAATTTTAACCGTGTCACTTTATAAAAAAATGGAGGTATGGTCGTTGGACTCCTGGTTTCTCATAAGAAGAATAATTTTCAGAGTACAGAAAGGGGGTCAAACCCAATGTCTCAAAAATTGTGTATGATATATGAGGAAAATCACAGCCCTCTAAATTTTTCAATGCCGCAAGCCTGGTCTAAAGAGCATTCAAGTGTTTGTACATCAGGCATAGGCCTCTAAATGGCACTGCATCATCCACTGTATCTAGCGTACGATTAAAAGTGATACGACACAAAATTAATAATACCACCCCTAGAAAATGTTGAAGGATCAAATGCAAATAGACAACCACATGGTCCACATCCCTACAGATAATACAAGGCAATACAACAAAAGCAGGCAACACCAGGAAAGTTCATCCAACAGTGCGGTATTACCTTATCAGAAACAAGCATTATATAAAACATAAAATATGAATTAATTTTCAAATTGCTATGATAAAGATTTGTGATGGTACACCATCTGTCACTAACAAATAAAGAATCACAAATTTGATAATCCAACAAAATAACTGCAAAATTTACACAGGCAAGGTTTACAACACAATTGCACCAAACGAATATGCTGACAGAAGAATGCTCCCCCCCCCCCCCCCCCCTTCACCTTTTTTCCCAAAAAAAATGCTACCATCTAACTAATTTCATCTCCATGACTCTTAAGAAAACTTTACATTAATTGACCGCATCTAACCCGGCAGTAATAAAGGGTACAATAATCCTTTGCTCAAACACATATATGACTTGCAAATATGAGCCTGCACAAGATATTGGTTTTAACTGGGGGGGCCTAGGACCACCATCACACAGAATGATCAGCTAAGTTTCGAAAGCTATAGTCAATGTGACTTCCCATCCCAGCCTAAATTCGGGGAAGTAAATAGCTTTCAACAATGCAAATATAGTAAATAGATTTCAGGCTAACTCACTTGTTCTCCAATCAAATCAAGACCAACCACCAAAAATGTGACCCCTTGAAACAATAGGAAATAGAAGTGTATTCCCTGGGCAGACAACAAGCTTCTCACTGATGCAGTCAACAAAATAAATGCTAGGGCAAGTTCTTTCCTGTACAGACGATTTCTTTTATGTTTTCCAGTTTTCTTGTTCATCTCTAATTTGTTAAGCTCAGCAAGACCCGATTCTGAAGAGGACCTGTGGAGATTGGTACTTTCGGCTAGAGGTTGGGATTCATTTTCCATCATGCCAAATAGGTCTGCCTCTGATGATCTGCCCAATTTTTTAGTAACTATCCACTCATAAGAACTTCCCAATTGGAACAATCCTGATATCATGGCATTGAATTTGGTCACCGATATGGTGTTCTCAAATAAAAGATAGGGCACTATAAATGGAAATGACCGTGGAGCCGGAATGATGTTCAAGATAGACATGAGTCCAGGGACATAACAAACTACCCAAACCGGTAATTGGGCCTCTGGCAGGAACATGGTAAGGGGGAGAATTATGCAGAAGAGTGTGAATGAATAAAAAGGCAGGATAAGCTTCCGCAGGAGGAAGAAAAGAAATATCATATTGGCTTTTTTAACCCAGCTCACCTGAAATGTGAAAGAAAAATATTCAGACTGACATTGTAGAAAAATTAAAATAAAAACATTACAAGGATATAAGAAGTTGAAATAAACTTTTCATTCCTAGAAATTCGATGTTTAGCTTGTGTGTTCACTTCTCATACCTTCCTAGAACAAAACTTATGAAATCCAGTTAAAAGGATACCCTCCCTCCCCCCTCCTTTCTCCTTTCTCTCTGAGCTAATTTTAAATGATGATCTGCTACTGCATTGTAGCCAGTGGTACATAGTTGGTTTTTGAAGGCAGTTCCAACTTCCAAGTTTCAGAACCTTAAAATCAGCTTGAGGAGAAGAGAGAAAGTCTGTACCCCGTGGAAAACACCTGATTAATCCCACTTCCCCACCCACAAAAAAAAAAACCAAAGCTGGACAAATCACATCACTCTGCTGAATGTACATTGATTTTCTTTGATCAATAAAATTTGAATAGCGGAAAAACATGAATCTAAGGAGCCTTATTCTAGCATGTCAATGCAAGGTCAGAGCTCCAGCCAATATTCTAATGCCTATAAGTTTTGTCTTCTTTTTCTTTCTTTTCTTTGTTACCTTTCTGACAGTTCTCAGTATTGCAAAGCAATGCTGAATGGCTTCTTCATCTTAATGGTATTCCCTTAGAGTTAGTTGACTGAAAAATAGTTGGAAAGCTAAACAAAAGAAAATCTTTCAAACCTTCGAGTGCAGTATGTCAACGAAGCACAAGCGAAACAATTGCATTGGACCTGAATGCCAGCGGTGTTGCTGCTTCTTGTATGCCTCATAGGATTCTGGGAGTTCACATAGGCACTACATAAAGAGAAGTTCAACTCAACATCTAAAATCAAACGTGTAAGTAATACTTTCAAAATATTAATATATTACCAACCTTTACATCATTTAAATATATAAACTTCCATCCACAAAGGTGAGCACGGACAGCAATATCCATGTCTTCAACAGTTGTTCGTTCCAACCAACCACCACATTCCTCAAGGGCCTTGATTCTCCATACACCAGCAGTTCCATTGAAACCAAAAAAGTTGATGAACACTCCATTAACTTGTTGTTCAACTTCAAAGTGGAAGGCTAAGTTTATATTCTGCAATCTTGTAAGCAAGTTCTCATCCTTGTTCACAAAAGCCCACCTTGTTTGGACCAACGCTAGGTCATCATGTCCCTTCAAAAGAACAGTAAAATCAACCAATGAGAATTAGTCAAATAACACAATTGCTACCTTTTTGTGCCAACCGGTGATTACCCTACAAAAACACCAAATTTTTTCAGATAATAGAAAAAGTGAGCGATTCTATATCTGCTAGTGATTGTGTTCATGTTTGTGCATGAAAAGATCCACACGTGATTTACTTGGTTTATAATTCAATGGAATAAACAAAAAAATGCAACAAAGTAGGGTGTAAAAAAGGAAACAAACCCAGGTGCACAGATGGACAACATGAAAGATGTATTTACGGAAGAGAGCATCGACGTGGAATAATAAACGGTTGGAAGCAGAATAAGAAACTAATTTAAGTTAGATTAGCTTCCTTAAAAATAAAATTTGAGATGACATTTGTCTGCATTGATGGCCCTTGGTCTCGTCAAAGAACAGTTTCTCTTAGCTCATGCTATTTTTAATAACATTATCATTTGCAAAGATTTAAGAAAACTACATAGACCATAAATAGAACTATGGAAAATACCTAAAGGATGGGTGTGTGTGTGTGCGTGTGCGTGTACGCATTAGAATAATGATAGCTCCCTTCAGGCCAAGTGGTGTGGGTGATCACCAGGAGGTCATCACCCACTACAACCACTAACAAGATAAATACGTTATGCATGACTGTGTCTGGGTTTCCAAATAGGAATTCTGATGTCAAACGCTCTATTTGTCACAAAAATCGTTGATTTTGTGAGAATAATAATAAACCAATTTTGTTTTTTTCCCTTCTTAGTTCAAATTTATAGCACCTTGTGGCATATATTTTTTCCTCATCTTTTTGAGATCCCTCCCTACAAAATTCTATGTACCAGAATAAGATCATAAGCCCACATTGGATAATATTGTGTTCTAAGAGGGCTAATGTAACATTTGTACATTTATCACGGATAAAGGCCACTCCAACTGAGGTGCTAATATTGGCTGAATAGCAGTAAGAACTATGTGGAACCAATACACTTGTCCACATTAAAAACATATTAGTGTCCATGAACTTTGAAGAAAATGCATAGATACTGAAAAACATGTTTGATACTTCTTGTTCACGTTTACACACTACCAAATATTGTAAAATTCCTGTATTGTAAACCATCTCTCGATTCGTAAACTTCAATGGTGCTACTCAAGCTAATATGTATCTTTCTTTATATCCATGTAAATAGAAAGTTACCCTGAAATAAGGGATGGTCTTCTTCAAGAAATCCTGCCCGGGTTGAAAATCAGCATCAAAAATTGCCACAAACTCATAATCTTTAACATAATCACAACTCATTGCAGATTTGAGATTCCCTGCTTTGTAGCCTGTGCGAATGAGACGGTGCCTATACAAAATGCACACACCTCTCTGTTGCCATTTCTGCACTTCTGCCTTGATAAGAGCTTGAACATCCAAATCATCAGAATCATCTAAAACTTGTACAAGCATTCTCTCCCTTGGCCAGTCCTGGATACATACTGCGGCAATGGATTGTTGGTAAACCTATGTGGCAACCCAATCAAGAAAGTCAGAATTTCTGAAAAACAGACCTATGCACATGCAAGCAAGAAGAAACCAGAATCTGAACTCTAAGAGAGAGAGCAAGACAGAGGCTTGCATCTTCTTGGAATTTTAATTATTTCCATGAAAGATGTAATCTGGACAATAATTTATGAGATCGCCTCCATTTCTTTTGCATGATAAAGTGGACAAGACAAAACCTTTCAGACTCTCACTTGGTATTTACTGAAAATGATAACTCTACTAAAGATTGCACAACAAGATGCCACATAATTGAGAACAAGGATACTCAAAGAGGGAAAAAGTGCAGAAATGGATTTTATGACCAGGTTTTGATAATCATTGAAAGACGTACAAAAGTAAAATCCAATATACGATGGGCAATCATGCTACTCACATGTTTCCCTCACTTGATTTGATGTTAACAGATATTGGTAAGTTTTCATTGATTTAACTTCTAAAATTGCTAATAATTACCATTCTTACTAATATTGTGCACACCATAAACAAAAAGCAGCACTTTGTATTGAATGCTGTCATATGATGGTGACTACATAAATACTATGATCAGATAAATTTCAAGATTCAAAGCGTACAGTAATCTGCAACCAGAATCGTGTATCAAGCCTCATGAATACTTCTTTCCTAGTGTTGCATAGAGATGAACATGTGCAGGTACTAAGTAAAATTTACACAAACCAAGAAAAAAAATACTTTTAAGGATGTGACTATATATAAATGGTTTAATATATTGTCACTAACATACAAGAACAGCTAACACACTAAGTTACTATATTGAACCAATAAGCACTGATGGATGCGACAATTGAAAAATTCTTTCATACCTCAAACTTACACTACACCAAGTAAAACCTCATCAGTTTTTACCCATACACAAGTGTCAAAATTCCACCCCCACTTGTGTTCTACATGTTTCATCCCAATCACTGTTGAAATTACAGAAAGAAAAACTAGTGTACTGTATGCTCTCGTTTAGAATATAGATATGACATTCGATGTAACTATGTCATGTAACTTTTACCGATGTGGAAAGATAAATTTATGATTATTTATAACCCATTATAATGTAATTATCAACAGTTTTGGAGAGGAGTGAGGGTGAACATTTTCATTCAACATTTTTTCCTTCTTTAAGGAATATACCATTTTCTTTGATTTAAATTGCTTTAACTTTCAAAATGCAATCAGTGAAGACAGAATACATGAACTCTTATGGGCTGGTATCATCTAACAAGAATCATTGAGTACCAGTGAAGCTGTATTGAAAAGGATTACTTGAAGCCACTGCAACTAAAGTAAATTGTCAAAAAAGATATAGATTAAGAAATCCAAAAAAAAAAAGGGAAGATAGCATACAATTTATATGGATAAAGCGTGGTATTATTATGGATAGAAGAAAATGGTCTTCTTTAGTTCTTCTCCTTTCGCTTCTTGGTGGTTGTGGAGGGGTGTGGGAAGAAGTTTTTGTGTAGCCTAAACAACATTAGATGGCATGTCATAAGGTCCTACAGATGTGCTTCAGCATCGACAAACAAATCTGGATTTAACTCACACAACAAATAAAAACAAAGAACATTAAATTCTGTAGCCTACGTAAGTTTCCTTACTCAGTGTGCTTGTTTTTCAATTGTTTAAGTGTACATCTTTGCGAGTGGATGGAAAGTTACATATTGAACACTCAAATAAAATAAAATAAAATAAAAAAAGATAAAGAGCATGAAATGCAAATGCATTAATACATCAGCATTGTCAAAATATGAAGAAAGTGAAAGACAGAATGCTTCTGAAGCATATTGCACTCATCCTTCACCAACTTTCTTGAATAATCACAAATGGACACATTTTTATTTTGGAACTGGTATCGGCATCTACTCATTTAGTGTCAAACATCGCTATTTAATGATGAGAAAACTGTATCACGCACGAGCAGATGAGTTCTATGTTTGTATTGCATTCATAAGTCATGGATCCATTTGACAAGCCATTTAAGCAAATAAGACAATCAGCCACACTAACTACCTATTGCATATGTCAACATTCTGTAGAATAACGGAAAATAAACTTACTTTATAGTGCAGCTTCATAAAGATATAGGCTTCTAAATTACCCAAGCCGTAAAACACAAATAAAAGCATAATAATCATAGTTATTAACAAGCTATAAATAGTAGTCATAGTTCTTAACAAGTTACAGATTCCCACCAACCTAAAATTGCATAATTAGTCACTCCCTATTAATGACAAGCCCAGAAGAATATCACATGCACTAAAATTATACCTTAAATCCCTTGATTAGAGTTGACACTAACCAATAAACAACAACTTCATACAACAAGAACAGACCAAATAAGCAGTTAAAGGTTCAAACTGCAAGAAAATTTACTTCAATTATAGTAAGTTTACTCCACTTCACAGTTAATACTTAATAGTAATTCCAGTGAACCAAAATTTTGCAGTAGGGATTCGAAACCTACATCTTCTTACCTCCCTCTCATTGCACATCGGAATTTGCACCAACACCATGGGATACTCCTCCACATTCACATTCTCCACATCCTCCGAGTACTCCACAAATGCCACTGGCTTCAACCCCGGAATTTGATCCAAAAGCATCCAAGCACCAAAACCACTCGATCCACAGACTGTATCAAGAACAACGCAATGCACACATTGATCAAACTCTGCAACGGTGGCGCCAAATAATTCGCCCTAATCTCCAGCCAATTCGCATACAAATATTCCACCAAATCCACCACCTCCGCCGCAGATTCCACTGTCGGCGGACTAAAATGCCATCCTTTAAAGTACGCAACCAACTCGAAAACTAATAATACAACTATAATCACCAAAAAGACCTTAATTACACGATATAATCTCGATTGGGGCCGCCGCGACTCCAAATCGGAGGGCGAATCGGAGGTCGTGATTCGACGATTGGCGGTTCGAAGTAGGGAAACGAAGCCATTGGTTAGAAAAGCGATTGAATTGGCAATTTGCTGGAATTTCAAGAGGTAAATCCAGGAGAGTTGGCGAGCGCTTCGAGTACGATCTTTGTCTGCCGTCCGATCGGCAGTAGGGCTCCTGATCTCCACCGTCAACAAGCTGTTAGGGTTTTCGGATAAGAGTTCGCCCTGATTCTCTCTCTGCTTGTTCCACCATTCTTGAAATTCATAGTTTGGTGCTCGAGACATAGATGTGTATTTTTTTCAGATCTCTCTCTCTCTCTCTCTCCTCAATAGGACATTGCAGTGTGTGCGCGTCTGTGTGTGAGAGAAAGAGAGAGTGTGTTCGCTTCTGTGTGATCCGGAGCTTGGGGGAAGAAAGAGAGAAGGCCGAGGCTGACGAAGCTATATTTAGTGAGTGAGAGAGAGAGAGACACAGACACCAAGTTTAGCGGAGGTTTGCTCTGTGTTTACTAGAACAGTGTGTGATTTGAAGGCAGGCCTTGTGCGGCAAATGATTTAAAAGCCACGCGCTTATACACACCACGGAATAGTAGCGCACATGATTTTCTTGAGTTGGGACGCGTGGATTAACAGCGCGTGGTAGTTTGTTTTGGGGATTCAGATTTTAGACATAACAGTGAATAGGTGGTGCTGATCTGTGTACGTACTATCCCAATTTATTAGGCGCTGAGGAGATTCCATTATTCCAAGCATTCATCCCAAGCTTCCCCCCACCCCCTTTTTTTTTTTTTTCAAATTTTACTTTTTCCATTACTTTTTCAAAAATATTTCAATTTTCAAAAATTTTCAGAGAATTATATTATTTCTAAAACATTGCGTAACACTTTATCCCTTTTAACCTTTTCAATTCATTAAAAAAAATTTAGTTTGATCGAGTCTTTCAAACTAAATTCATTCTCTTTTTCACACTATTTTACGGACTTTTTTTCTTTTAAATCTTTGTCTTTAACTTCATTCTCTTATTTGTTGGGATAATTACGATCAAATTCTCTGAAATTTGTCACTTAATCATCAAGATTTTTTAATATTCAAAATATTACACATAAATCTCTTAAAATTTCTATATGAGTAATACTTAGAACTCTGTCGTCAAGTGTCGATTAGTATATCTGTTAGTAAATTACATCTAGACCCGTTAAAATTTATAGACGTATAATATTTAAACTCCTTAAATTTAAAATGTTATACTTAAATTAAAAATAATCTAATTAAAGATAAAATATCAAATATTTTAAATTTTACTATCAAAATTCATTTTCTATTATATCACTAAAAATTCATGTTCTATTATGTCATTTTATTAAAATAAAATTAAAATTAAAAATCTAATTTTTCTTAAAAGATCATAATTAATATGAAATTATACTGTCTATTGGAATAAAAGTAAACAATTAAATAAAGGGTCAAATTATAATAGACACAATATATTCTAGTTTTAATTGGGGTAATTTGATAGTTTAATTTAGTCGTTAAAACGATCAAATTAAATTTCAACAAATAGTAATTATATACTAATTATGATTGTTTAAGAAAAAATTAGATTTTTATTTTTAATTTTATTTTAATAAAATGTCACAATAGAATATAAATTTTAGTTTTAAAATTTAAAATATTTGATATTTTATCTTTGATTATAATTTTTTTAATCTAAATATACATTTTAAATTTGAGGGATTTAAGTATCGCACGCCTAAAAACTTTAAGGGGTTTGGATATAATTTATTAACGAATATACTAACAGACATTGATGATAGGAGCTTGAGTGTTACGTGCGGACAAATTTTAGGAGATCTATGTGTAATATTTCAAATATTAGGAATTTGAGTGATTAAATAACAAACTTAAGAAGGTTTGAATGTAATTCTCTCTTTTTTTTTTGCAAGCAAAAAAAAAAAACTAGTTCTTTTTCATCTGACTTTTTTCTAATTATTTCATTTATCTCTATTATTTGCCTATGTTTTAGGATAAATAAAAATTAAATATTAGTCAATTTTGATAATTCTTTTCTCTAACTCAAATATGCGCTTACTTTTGATAATAACTTTTTAGTAATCTAAAATTTGAAGTTTATTTTTCATAAGCTATATAACGACATTTTTCCCTTTTTTTAATAGATTAATGTTTTACATGTATTCTCGTGAAAAAAAACACTTTATACGTAAGTGTGTTATACTTCTTACAACATTTCTTTTGAGGCTTTTGTAAATCATTAGAATTGATATGTAAACTTCTGATTTTTTACTTCAAACAAAAAGGAAGAAATTTAAAACTCATTCAAACGTCTAATAATTGAAACATCCATGTGTAGAGAGAGAGAGAGAGGTTTCAATTCAACGTTTGGACACAATTTTTCTGATTTCATTTATAGTTTTTTTTTTTTTTTTGGTGACATCTCTTTAATCATTATCAATTTTACACGAATTTTTCTTAATTCCACCGTCACGGGCTTCACCAATACAACGTGAAAATACCAAGTAAATTGCTAATTATAATTAATTTGAAGAAATAACAAGCAATATTTTACACAATCTATTAGTGTAATTATCATATTTGAACTAAGGGTGTAACTTGGGCGGGCTAACCCAATTTCAACCCGAAAAAAGTAAGGTTTGAGTTAGGGTTTTTAATACTTAAGTTGAACTTAAGTCAAAAAATTCTAACCCAAAACGGACCTCGGGTTGACCCCTCGAGTTCCCGGGTTGAATTAGAATATTAAAATTGGGTTCAACCCGACTTAATATTCGGATTCAATCTGAATATTTATAACCATATAAATACATTTTTAAGTCTAGGGTTAATCTGTTATAAAGTCTTTCATTGTGCGCCTCCTTCACTCACTATTTAAGCAGTGAACTTTATATTTGTACAAGGATTCTGGTTGTGTTTATTTGTGTTATGTATGGTTGTAGTTGTATTATCTTAAATATTGAGTTCTTAATATTATGATTTTTATGTTAAAAACTTCATTGAAATTGTTGGTTGTTAATTTTGATGAATATTATGTAATATATGTATCAGGTTTAGAATAACAAGTCGATTTTTGCCTCAGCCTTAATTCAACTCATAAAATAACTCAAAATAGAGTTAGGATTAAAAATTATATACATAAGATTAGCATACGGTTGACTGTCCAACCTGCTTGCACCCCTAATTTGAACGGTTAAAAATAAATTCAGAATTTTAATAGCTAAAACCCAAGACTCGAGACATTTAAAATTGGGTCACATCAAAAGCCCACTATCAATTGATCCACTAATAACAAATCCAAAATTGAAATAGGTAAAGCCCAAGACTCGAGTCATTTATGCCCAAATCACAAGCCCGCTATGAATTGAACCACTAATAATAAATCCAAAATTTAAATGGCCAAAGCCCAAAGCTCTTAAGACATCTAAAATTGGCTTACGTCATAAACACGTGACTCTAAGACGCTCTGATCAAACGCCTCAGATCAGATCTGCAAAACATTAAACTATGTTTGGTGGGGTGCGCCAGGCTAAGGCAGTAGTGCAACGCTTAAGCGACGCTTGAAGGCCCCAGCAGCAAGCTACTGTAATGGACCCTCCCCTCAAAAAATTAATTTAATATCATGTGAACCATTAGCCCACGTATCAGATATTAAACTGATAAGAACAGATACTACACTTGATCTTAGCCAAAAGGCCGAGAAAGGTATGAGTCTTCTTTCCTTGGGCCGCTTTTTTCATAGTGCACTTTGCTCTTCACCTTTTCTCTCAATTTCAATGTGGGATTGTGAAACACCCTCAAAGGCTTATCTTTAAAACCGATTTGCCTGACCCTTCCTTTGATCCCCTTACCTTCCTTCTGAAGCTCTTATTTATGGAATCCTTCAAGGATTAGTGAACTACACAGTATAAAGCACAATGGAACTACTGTTACAGCCGATGCTATGATCAGCAAAGAAATCCACCTATCCAATTATCCATCCACCTTTTGATCAAAAACTATGGTCATTTTGTATCACAATCCTCAGGGCAATGAAGATAAATGCTGTGTTGTTGTACATCTTCATTGTCTTCTGCTCCTATGCTGTGTCTGTCTGCAATACACAACTAAATTTGTGGTGAAAATAATTATCTTTATGTGGGGGTGATTTGTAGAGAAAATTGAACCCATCAGTCCCATGAAAGAAACAATTGTACACCATGCAGTGCATCGCATGAACTCGGTTACAGAAAATGGCGTTTGGGACTTGTGTCTTTTTCGATACTAAGCCGAGAAAACTAAATGGCATGATCTGCAAAAAAACAAACTGCTACCTTGTCTAAGGACATAGATTCACAGCAGAGGGGATGAAGAGTAAGTCTGATAAAAAAAAAAACTTATCATGATGGATTTCAAAGGTATTAATCTCCGAGATACAGTTGAATTTTGCTAGTATTCGAGTTACACAGATGGGTTCAAATTTACAATGCTCCTAATCTGTAGTAATCTGCATTTATAGGGGCTACTAGGACTTGGGTCTCTCTCTTGGGCGGGGCATCAAGTACATGTATCTGTTTGTACTTTCTTGGCTTAGGCTTCCAACTAATTGAGCTGCCTATGATCAGCAAAGAAATACCTTTCATCTCGAATAGAAAACTGGTCATAGGACTAATGGCCTCTGGCTTTTTGCTTGTGCAGTTGAATGATGTGTGTTGTTTTATTGAACGTATGATGCTGAGGTTGTAATTCCTGAAATAACTTTGAATATGAGAATAGAGAAACTAAATAGAACTGGGTTTTATGCTGATAACTAAACTATAGGCTGATAATTACAAGTCTAGGGCTTTGGATTCAAATTCAGAGGGAAGATCTAAGAGTGTGTTAGATCAACAATGCGCGTCCTCAGCGCCGAGGTACATCTTGCCTCGGGCGAGATCACGTGTCCTCGACACCGAGATCCCCTGCTTTGACAATGACATGTTCTTCGGCGCCAAGGCATATGCCCTCGGCTTCGAGGGTACCTCCACTCTGGGGGAGTCAAGTGTCCTCGACCCCCGAGGGTATTCACAAACTCTGATCTTGCCACAAGTCTTCGGCTTCTAGAGAGGATACTGATTGACAGATGAACAATCTAAATTAGACTAGGAGTCAGGAGGACACTTTGCACAATGAAGTCAGAATAGCAGAACAAACTGGAAACTCAACTAGGGGGAGTCAGAAACGTGGCATAAGGTGCAGAATAAGGGGTAAAAAAATAGAATTACCCTTGCTGATTTACAGCCATCCCAGGCAAAAATTTAATGAATCCTCAATGATGGGACATCCACAGTAATTTGGAGAGCGGGGATATTGAGTATTAAATGCTTTGGGCTCCGAGCATTTAAAGTCTTTATATTGAAGAAAGAGCATTAATTGCTCGGGAGCTCGAGCAATCAATGATGAGGGCCTCCTCATGCAAAATAAGAGGCACATTCTCTCATGTATGATCACTACCTCTTGTCTAGGTCATCAGCAATGATGAGCCGTTAAGGGTATAAGTAGCTCCCAAAAATGTGAAGCAGAGGTACACAAATTCACCTCTTAAGAGCAATACAATGTTTTCTTCTTCCCATTTTTTAAAGAACTGACTTAATCGTTGGAGGTGATACGCCAGAAAATACTCCAACACCTTTTTAACTTATTTTTTGAATGCCAGAAACGATTTACCACCCCCCTAGGATCGATTGGATAGTCCCAAGAGCAATTCATCACCACTTCTTACGCCCCCCTTTGGCCCTTTCAACTCATTTCTTGTTGCAGAATCCACCACATTGACGAGCACGAATGCACCAGGGGAGAGATCTGTTCCCATTACATCTATTGTGCGAAAATCATTGCGCACAATAAAGTTTTTTATTTTTTGTAAATCAATGTACCTCTGCAATTGAGTGACGGGTCTAATTTCTTCCTTGTAGCAAGGTATTTTCTACAGTGAGAATGAAGAAATCAGCTAAATTGGTATGCCAAGACCTTCAATTGCTTGATATGCTCTAGTCATTATCAGTTTTGAGGCTTAATCCTATCGATATAGGACTTGGGAAACATGATTTCATATTAGGTGCCGCGGGAGAGAAGAATTTTAGAAAGTGACATACTTTGTTTAGACATTGAATAACTGTCTTAGGGACCTGGCCTATAAGGTCCCTTTGCTTCGAAAACTCGAAAAAACATCTATTGAAAAAAAAAAAGAAAAATTTCAAACTTGGAAGTTCATAATGCCCCAAATTAGACTTAGTATTTTACACATCTCCTCATACCTCTTGGAAGATGGTAAATGCACCAACTACAAAGCAGAAAATAGGAAGACTCGAAGATGTTGACATAGATAATTGCTTGCTTCCCCAACAAATGTTTAAAATTAGGGTTAAAAAAAATGGCCATTGGTGATAGTTTTTTTTTTCAACGGTCAGAGGTGTCTGAATTAACTTACGCACACTTCGAATAATCTCTTCTCCGGTTTGGTTAAAAGCAAGTCATCCGCATTGAGATTAGGGTATTAATGAGGAATATATTCCTATGCAGCTCAAGTAATAACATAGACGAATTATAAATTTAGACGCAAAAACACATGCTTCCAGTTTTAGAGCATGATAAATGGATGGTTGGTGAAACAAATGATGGCCCTTCAGTGTCTGTTTTTTCTTCCTCTAGCAAAGGAAAACACCCACCCAAACTGAAACATGAAAATGCCTCTCTAAGTGGAAAAAAAAGACCCAAGAAAAAATGGAGCATTGGAATAGGGACAACTTGTTAGTCACCCACTCTCATAATTATTGTTATGCCTTAGGAAACTATAAACCCAGACCCCACTCTGCTTCAGTCGTTTTCATTGGAAATTTTGAAGCTGATTTGCAAAGACTTAAATGGTTTTGCTTATGTGAAAAGAATCACATTTCAGTGCCATGCTTTTATTTTTTATTCAATAAAACACGTCACTTATAAAATTTTCATATTTTCATATTTTTTATTATTTTATCACTCTTTCGATCGGTGGTTATAAACCATTCAATTCAAAATCGACAACGGAGATAGATGGAGGTACGGTATTAAATCGGTACTGTAACTTTACTCACGTGAAAAACATGGAATTCAGTATTTGATTATGATACTAACCACAAAATACCCCATTATTAACAGCTACCTAGATGAATCGTGCTACATATATATAGCTCTTTGCAAATACTCTTTTGACCTACAATATTGAGCCCACTCATCCACTAGACTATGCAAATTGCTTGCATTTTACAAAGTGATAACAATTTGATTGGACTCTACTTTTTTTTTTGTCCTTTGCTTTCTGGAGAATCCTAAAACAAATCGGGAAAAAAGTGTCCCAACTCTAGATTGCAACGTGCAAGAAAAGATTTTCCAATATCGACCGGTCTTAATCAAAGTGTTTTTATTCATCACTTCGTTTATAACAAGGAAAAAGTCCAAAATTTGGTGATATACCCAAAAAAAATTGAAGTTAAGATTCAAAACAGTTACGATCAACTTAATCAACTAATTAAGTCGTCACTTGACTTGTTGGATCGCATCGATTGTAATTTTTGGTATGATGCTAAAAAATAACTCGAGAAAACCCAAAAACCTTGCATAAAGGACACCTTAAGTTCTAAAATCCAATCAGGCCAAACTTAACGACAAATAGGCTTAAGTCTACACAGCATGTGAGATGATTGGTAATCAGTTATTTATAAAAAGATGACACAGAAACTAAAAGCCAAGTGAACCAGTTTGCAAAGAATCATCCTCCATTGAAGCTGCTTTGGAGCTCTGAATGAAGACTTGATCTTGACAAACTATAATATATAATGAAACCATAGTAGTAAGAATAGACAAATGCTAATGAGACAAGGACTAGGTAATAAACTTCATGCTGGCCATGTAAATTCAAACTGATTGTACCATAACACTCAAAATATATTAAGAGAATAGAAAAGGGGAGATGAGACTATCCAATGGAGAATTTACGTCTTGGACGATTTACGATTGGATTAAAGATATTGAAAGTTTTCTCCTGTCGATTTAGGCCAATGATCATGGTTCTAAGCTGTTTCAATCTCACATTGGTAAAAAATAAGATTAAATGCGTGTATATGAATTCTTTGACACTTTTTCTTTGTAAATCGATTTTCAGGTCAAGTTCTACAAATGAGTTCATAACAATTGATATTTGAACTAACCACCACGTCAAATATGAGATTGAATACAACACAGTATAAGCTGCAACTCTCTATGGTCGAGTCATGGAATAGACAATTTATAGGCTGAATTAAGATGACTTGGTATTATGTATGAGTATAATACTATCTTGTTGAATACTAATAGGTGAATGGAGCTGCCAAAAAAAAAGAACTACTGTTGGGTCCGCGGACTTCGGTTATGGAAGCATGGTGGAATGTTATGATCCCACATCAGTTAAAAATAAAACTAGATGTGTGTATATAAATTCTTGGATATTCTCCCTTTACAAATCGATTTTCAAAAATAAGTCCTACCCATGGGTTCAAAACATAAAGAACCTAAGAGAAGAAAGATCCAATCCCAGAAATGCCATAAAACCATGAACAGAATAATACAGCTCAAACTATGCTAAATTCAACCAAAAAAAAAAAATCAAAATTCAAATGCCAGACACCTTTCACTGTATGCTTGGTCTTCTTTAATGATTTGGGTAACAAGTCTTCACCTATATATATATATATATATATAAAGATGATAATATGTTCTTTAACTCTTGTGTTCAAAATATCATTTTCATAGAATCTTTCTGATAATCATATCACACTAATCAGGAGACCAATAATAGACATCCGAATAAAATAACTTAAGGCTGCAAAGCACAAATCTTTTGTTAAACCCCAAAAGCTAAAATTTTCACTAACCACCCCCTAATCATATGATTAATCTATCCTTTAAGGGCATCTTTCCATACATGAAATCCACTACATTAACCTTTACCTGTTCACAATAATTTAAAAAAAAAAACAGAAAGTTTTTTAAAGCCCTCAGATTCATTGGGTCTAGTCAGAACTTCACCCAATTCCACCCTGAGATTCCCGTATACATATTGAATTAATTCCAACTGTTTTTTTTTTTTCTTGTGCCCGGTGAAAAAGAGAACAGAAGCTTCTGTTTTCTGGTTAATCTCTGAAAATTACAGGAGCCCAAAATGTATGCCACAAATTGTGGTTTGACTTCAGAACAAGAAAAATCAAGTTTTAATCATTCTTATTAGATTTCTATGGGAGCAGAGGAGGCCCATCATACAGCTGGTTACAACATAAGAAATAGTCATACCAACTGATTACACGATTGAACACTGTACAATTGACAAGAAAAGCTATGATAATTGCTATATATATCTTCTCAAAGTCCAAATCATATGGCTGAATTATAAGTTACAATGTCTGGTAGTTGGAAAATGAAAGCTGGTGGAAGATCTCCACTTTTTCATTCCTCTGCTTGGAAAATATATCTTCCATGTGGTTGTTACGTTTGGTGCTGTTTACTATGCACCCAAAAAATATTGTTCTATGTTATACATTGAATACTTCCCCCAAACTAGCCAGAAGACCAAAAATCAATTACAAAAACAAAATGACATAAAGCTAATAGGATAAAAATTATATGGATTAGACCCTAAAGATGAAATTAGCAATCCAACTAAAGATCTCTTTGTATGTACGGCAGCCTAATTCTCCCACTGGGAATTGAAATGAGAACCGGTGGATATGCGATCACAGCTCCTTTTTCATGGAGGATCCCTTACCAGAGAAGCTTTGTGAATGAAATACAGTATCCTGCTTCGGATTGTGGCCAAATCCCATTTGAACAATGCTTTGTAGGTCATCTTCACAGAATGTTGGAAACTGGCATAATAAGATGATAAGCAGGATTGGACAATGATTAAAAATTCGTTTGTCAAGTGTTCATAGAGACTATCTGAATTGCCAAAAACAGGTTAAAACTTGATTACCCGAGGAAGATCTTGATTGAATTTTTCAACGGGATGTAATTTCATGCCAAGGTTGTGGCACAGTGCTGTATATAATGGGTCCCCTGAGCATTGGCTCATTGTTCCAGTGGAGATTTTTGTTTGTTGTGGGCTTTGCAGTGGCTGGTGCCCACAGGAATCCGTCACCGAGGTATCTAATGAGCACAATGGATGTGGCAAAGAACCATTTGGTTGGAATATCTGAAATTTACAATGGACCCGAGAAGTCAATTTGCCAAAATTAAGTGAATGGTATGGAGAGAGAGCCATTGAAATGATGCTAGTAACTTACATCCTTTGAAAGGAGAATATTCATATCAACATCCAATCTTGGATTCACTGAAGCTAATTTCATCGAGAGGAACTACAAAATTTAGAGACACCCATTAACAGATGAGACCTAAATAAGCAATGACTATCACAAACTCTGCTTGAATTTAACTTGATTTACCTCAACTTGGCGTTGCAATGACTGCACATAATTTATAATTTCATCGAGCATAAGTGCTTTTCCAGTCACCTAAGATAGAAATTCACTATGCCAGGTTAGAAATGGACCCATTAATGAGCTTAGACCTATCTACGATTACAATTTCAACCACAAGCATTTCTGCACACCTTATTGCAACCTGGTACAAGATCTTGGAGAAGTTTCATCCGTTCGCTGATCTTCTCTCGTCGGACCTGATCAAATGACGAGATTATGATACGACACATGGGATGGGATGGCATTATTGAGTACATAAGCAAGGAATTAGCTCACAAAGCTTACTCTTTCGGCTAAACTATGGCTGTCAGTAGCTTGACCCCTCCTTGCCCTGACATGAATGTAGTCCTTTGGAGGTTCAGGAGGCTTTGGATTAGCCTTAACGTGTTTCTTACTTTCATCCCCTGCATCACTAGTACTTCCCTTTGTTTCCTCCTCTGTTTTGACACCACCATTTTCATTTCCATTTCTTTCTGATGACTTGGGTCGCTTTGCATTTGTATCATCATCAGCTTCGGTGCCCTGAAAGTAAAATCGTCCCAGCTGTATTGAGTTTCTAAATCGAATTAATGAACAGAAAATTGGGATCATCCTGACTTTATAAGTCGTACCTTTATATAATTGGCAGACTGAATTGGTGCGTCTTCCTTTGATATTCCCTTAGAAACTGCTTTTCTTTTCCTTGAACTCAATTCATTTGGAGTTTTTGACCTGATTTCTCTACTTGGTATTTGTTCACAAACAGAAGATTCCTCATTAGAATTTGCAGCAGAAACTGCTAATTTACTCAACTTCGTATCAGAAACCAAACCCGAGCCATGCGACGACCTCATTTCCATCTGGGTTTGGGCAAAGTTCTTGTTTTCCATTGGAGATCCAGCTGCTTTAAAAGAAGGACTACTCGAAACTCTCGGAAACTTTCCACTTCCCAACAATGGAGTGCCCGACCTACATGGTAATTCAGCATTGTTTAACCCAAATTGACTCGTTGGACCATTGAAACTACGACTTCCAAAACAGGAAAATTTTGCAGCCCTCTCAACAAACCCAGGATCAGCCGAGATTGCCGGCAAAGCAGGATTCAAAGGCACTGAAGTACCCAAATTGGGTAAGTTTTGTTTCCCAAATTGGTCCATAATTGGCATACGCAACTTAGGTGGAGAGTTCACTGGTGTTCCATAACATGAATTGCTAGTACTGTGACTTCCACTACCAATGTAAGGTGTCCCAACGTTTGTAGCATCCATTAAAGGAGGTGAGATCACGGGGGAGTTACAAATGGTGCCCAATTTTCCAATCAATTCACGAATTGCAAAGTTCTCATGGGACATGGCTGAATTGGAGGGAACGGGGGATGAGACCATTGAGCGCAGGGCTGACTCGAAGTGGGTGTACTGATCGGTTGACTCGTCCCAATAGGGATTGAGAAAACAGTCTGAAGATTGCTCCGAAGAACAAATTAGTTCCACAGCTGAAGATAAGGATTGCCATGTGGGCATAGAGGGCTCGAAGTTTTGTGGTGGTGGAATTCCAGTATTGAGAGAGAAGTCTTTGTCCATCCAGAAAGATATTGAAATTGAAGACGAGAAGTGATACAAAGATGGGAACCCAGGTGAGTTCTCAGTAATGAGAATGAATTTGAAGAGAATCTTAGGTTCTTGACGAATTAAAGGATAAGAAACAGAGGAAACAGGGTTCACTTAGTGGGCAAAGAATGCAAATGGAGTTTAATATGATTTTGCAATTTCAGGGAGGCTAAAGCGGGTGAGGTTGCAGAGAAATGGGGGTTTGTGCAGGTGCAAGAAAAAGCAACGGAAAAGCTGAGAGAGAGAGAGAGAGAGAGAGGGGGAAGGTTAAGGATTGGGTAGTGAGGAAGTTATATAGCCGAAAGAGAAGTGGGTGGTTTGTTTGACATTTTTGTACTGATTTTTTTTTTTTTTGCCCTTTCCCCGTAGAATGTAGCCGTAGACAGCGGAGACGAAGGGTAAATGCCGGGCCTTGAACGTCAAAGCACCAAAATGTCCACTCCCATCTCTTGAAATTACAAGTTTTCCAGGCTTTCATGGAAGACTCAGACCCTACTGCTCTCCCTCTCTCTTTCTCTCTCTCTCTCTCTCTCTCTCTCTCTAGGTGATTTTTCACCTACTATTGAAGCCCTAATTGATTTGCATTTATTTGTGCTTATATCGTTCCTAATTGTTGGGAAAATTATATGCGGAAACAACCCAAGTGAGTAATGATATGTATCCAAATTTATAATTTAAATTTATATTTCAAATAAAGAGAATCATTGGATCAATAGGTTCTATTTAAAAAAGTTGATCAGACTCACTGATCCAATAATCTCCTTGATTTGGAATACATAGCACTACTCACCCAAGTGTTGATAGGCCAGAAAATAAATAAAAAAACCCAAGTGTTGATAATATGTATCCTCATTGCATACATATAGTAATATACATACATTTAATCCTCACATACTATAATTCAAATTGTAAGAGGGATGATATATAAATTTAGACATGCTGAGTTTTACTTTAACAATTTCTTTTCGTGAATATTTTAATTTGTGTAATACTACGTGGACTTAAAAAATAGATTTAAAAACTAGACTTGATAATCTCAACCATTGATTTCACTGTAGATCCCAGCATTTATTGGAACACACTACCTATTAAATGGTTAAGATTATCAAGTCTACTTTTTAAATCCATGTAGTATTACTCTTTTAATTTTGACAAAGATAGTCTGACTTTGATCAGATCGAAGTGAATATTATTCGAGTACACATAAATTAATTCAGACACCCTAATCCTTCAATCAATCAATATATATAACGATTTTCAAAGAAAAAAAAATCAACTTTCGTGATTATTTTTCATGTTTTTAGGTTTTCCATTGGAAAGGACTTTGACTTTCGGGATAAGATTACAATAATGCCGAGGTAAAGCATCAAAAATTGATTTGGATTATTAATTTTAATTTAAATAATCTGTAATTATTAATTAAAATAGTAAAAATAAAAATTAAACGTGAAGTATTTTTATTAGATAAAAAAAAATAAAAATACAGTACAATAATATGAGTAATATGAAGAACGAAAATGACATTTTAGTACTGTAATGAGACGCCAAATTTCATGATATCATCACTGACGTTCTACGTTTCACGCTGTGCGTGAGGGGAGAAAGATGAAGGTTAGATTTGGCATTCCAGGTTTAGGAAAGATTATCTTCTCTCTTTTTTATTATTATTTTCTTCTTCTACGGTTAAAAGCCTTAAAAGTCTATTGGTCCTCCATATCTTATCCTATACTAGTCAGTAATATAATACAATAATAATTTTAAATTTCAGTCATTGGGTCAATAGAATAACCTGTTTTGGTTTAGAATACTGTTGTGGACACTATTTTTGAAGCAAAGTTAAAATCTTTGAATTTAATCTTAGAAAGAATGAATAATAATTGGGGGGACTCCTTTTTTTTTTTTTTTTTGATCTAAGTGTAGACTCGTTAAGTAGGTCAAGTAAATATATTGATAAATATGACACAAATTTAAATACATAAGTTTTATGTATAATATAAACTTGATACTATACGACTCCAATTATACACAATTATAATTAAATATAATAAAACATGATAAATTTTAATAAGTTTATTCGATAGTCTCATATAAGTTCATCCAATGACAACCAACCTTGCTCTCAAAACTATTCACATTAACTATTCACATTGCACCGTGCCTCAGATACGGGTTACTAAAAGTGTTCAAATTTTCGATTATTAGCAAATTCCGACCTTACTCTACCCTACCCTATCTTGCTTTATTGATTAGCTACATGAAAAAATCGGGTAAGTCAATGAAAATTTTTTGGTACAAAATTTTTGTATTTATTATATATATATATATAAATTAATCCATCAAAATTAAAATTCAAAATTCTAGAAACTCTAATCTTTTATTGATGTTTATGATTTTCTTATATATGATGTATTGATATCTATAACTTTATTGTTATTTTTTATTGTAATTGTTTATGTATTATCAAAGTTTTTTAGTTTTTTTAGTGTTAGTTAATTGGTGCAGGTTACTTACTTAAATTGTTAAAATGATTCAAAAATTAATAACTAAAAAATATGTGTTCACCTGATTTCTTACTCGACTTCTTATCCGATTATTTTGAACAGAATTCGAGTAAAAATAGTACACTTAATCTGATAAGATAGGCCAAAAAATATTTCTTATGTAAAATATCAGATAAAAAAATAAAATATTATAATTTTTACTCATAGAGTAAGCTGAACACCCTACGATTATTCTTACTTATGTATAAACTAAACAAATTTCAATCCAATGTGATAAAAATAGTAGTACGGTACGGTACATTTCACAACCCTTTATTGAAATTTGGCTGGCGGTGGGTTGGGCAAGACTTGGTTCTCTCTGAGGTGTAATTTAGTCATTCAAAGTTATTGTGCTCTAGCAGCATTTGGTTAAGCTTTGGCACTTTGGTCGGCCCTTTGTTTTGGCGGTGAGATTTTAATAGTAAATAATTATTGCACTAAATTCCCACCCCTCCGATTAAATTGGGTTTGGTCGGGTTCACATAACAAAGAATATAAACCCGAATTGTTGAAATATGTAACCGAGGTAGGGGTATTGCTCGAAAGATGAGTTAGTTGAATTCTGTTTAGACTTGGTTTTGATAGAACTCAATTTAAACTCAATTCATTTTTTAACAAGTTCAACTTTAACGATTTTTTAAATTTATTTAAAAAAATGAGTTTAAAAAACTCGACTTGAGCTCACAAAACATTATTAGAAACACTCTTACTTGTGGGTGATTTACCAAAAAAAATTAAAAAATATATATATTAGAAGAAGGGTGTGTTTGTTAATTCAAATTCAATACTTAAAATGAATGTATTTGACACTTATTAATTAAGCTCATTTGATAACTAAAATTTCAACTCTCCTAATATGTTAAGTGTTCATTTAAAATAGGTTATAATATTAAGTAGGAGATCTCTTACTTAATTCTGAAAGTTGAAAGTGCTAGATAAACCATATTTAATAATATTTATAATATGATAATTATACCTCGAAATATTTTATAAACCTATTAAAGCTCTAATTAGTGTTATCTCCAAAAATAATAACTATATATCTTTATTGTCAATCGTCTTCTTCATCAGATAATAGGTGTTTTTTTTCTTTTTTCTTTGCTGTCTACTGTAAATAAACATGTTAAAACACACACCTACGTTCACTGCACACCCACACACAGATATGCACTGTATGCAGAACCACCCTCCCCCACCCAAACTACCCACACACAAGCACAAATTGCACACATACACACACATATATTATTAATGAGATTTAATTTATTTTATATTTTTAATTAGATTATTTATTCATTTTTTTTATCAAATTTTATTATTTAATTATTGTGTTATTCAATTTGTTATTGATTTGATATATTGTCATTTTTTATTAGATAAAACATATTTTATAAATATTTTTAAATTAAAGAGAGGAAGGGTAAAACTGAAAATTAATTTATTTTCAAACGTCAATTTTGTGTAATTATCAAACAGTTTGATTTAATTAAGTACTTAAATTTCAGTGGATACTTAAATTTGCAATACTCCACGTGTGTTGCACGTGAATAGTTTGCATATATAAAAATTAATAAAATATATTAGATATATATGTATTTGAATTAAATATCATCTCAAATTTATCAAACTTAATTTTTATTATTCATAATCTATTATATAATTATGAAAATTTTGTATGTTCCCAAAATTCTTTGTTATAATTAAAAAAAAAAAGAAATACTAAAAGTTTTATTTTTTTGAATTTTGTGATTGAGATTGATTTTTTAGTAATGTTTAAAAAAATAATTTTTTTGAAATTCATTTGATTATGATTTCACTTATAATTTCTTTAAATAAAATAAAATAATTATCAATATACTAATCACATTGGAACCTTACTGCAATTAATAATTAGTTATGTCAATTGGAATAAGATTTAATATACTACTCTTTAATATATATTTTTAAGCATACTATAATTCTAAAAAAATTAAGTTTTACATAAAAATACACTACAATATGTATTTTTACATAAAATCTTAGTACAACTTTAAAAATTTATTGTGACTAAAGAATTATATTGATATAATATAAATTAATTTTAAAAAATTATATGTATGATTATTTTTATCTCAAAAATAAAAATTTTAATTTTTTTGATAAAAAAAATGTACATATGTAGACATAATATTATCTCTGCATACGACATGAGTAATATCAGATTGATAGATTTTTAAAAAAAATTTGAACATTTTATTGAAAATATAATGATGCATATTTTTTTAAGGGTAATATAATCAATCAAAATATTTTATAGAAACTAATTAAATAATTAAAAAAGATGTTATATATAATTTAGAAATTTAAAGACATAAAGATATAATGATAATTTAGATATTTAATTGTGAAATGATAGAGTAGTCTTTGTAATACTTTATAAGGGTAAAATAGAGATTCAAAAATTTTTCATTTTAAAGTTTTATTAGTAGTATATATATATATATATATATATATATATATATATATATATATATATATATATATATATATATATATATATATAGATTAATCGAGTCAAGCTTTGCGATTTGAGCTTGAGTTTATCGAGCTCGTTTTTTTAAATGAATCTAAAAAATTGTTCAACCTTGGTATGTTTAGAAAAAGAGTCGAGCCTGAATAATTCGATTATTTTACATATAAATGAGTCATGCCTTTTTAAACTCTTTTTTTTAAACGAGTCTAAAAGTTATTCAATCACAAATCGTTTAAAACACGAGTCGAACTGAAGTAACTCGTCTCGATTAAACTTTTCACCACCATACAATTAAGTAGAATTCATTAATATTTATAGATTTAATTAGTATATATTATTCTAAATTTATGAGACTTATAATGAGTTTAGAGCAGAGTGATTTGAGAAAGAAAAACAAAAAAAGAAAAGAAACATTATAGCTATTTTAAGTATAAGCAAAAAAATTGGCATTTCTCCCTCTATTTAAATTAAGTAGCAATAGATGGGGAGATGACAACTTTTCGTAACTAGGGAATGTTCGTGTCTGTAGACACTGTGTTAAATAAAAAAAATTGCCAACATTTACCATCAATAATTCTATCCCATAAATAATTTTGCTCTATTCTCGAAATAATATTTTTCACTATTTTTATTTGTACTTATCATTGACAAACACAAACCCATTACCATTTAATAATTTGGTAACTTCATAATGGCTATGTAATATCAAAATACTTATTGCCAAGGTTTGTTGCATCTGGTAATAATGATCATAATTAATTGTATCAGGGGCCTTAGTAACTATAATAACATGTTATTATTGTCACGTAATGTCACTGTTTAATAATAAATTAATTTATAGACAAATGAACTCTCCGTGATTGAGTAACTTGTCTATCCATTAAGATAATAACTACTTCGTGTAACTTTGTCTAGTTATAAGTTTATTATTACACGATAATATTATATGACAATGATGATATAGTCTTATCATATTCTCCCATTAACAATGGTGCAAAATCTTTTTTTTTTTTATTCAACAATTAAAAATGTTCAAACCATCTTACGCGTAACTCACGCTGCAATAGTTTTTTCCATTTCTAATTAGCAATTCACTGGCAATCATGGGTTCTGGTCAAACAATCAATTCCTGCTGGTTATGAAATCTATTTCCACCTTGTGAAATAACTGAGGTCTATCTTCAACAAGAAAGAAAGAAAGAAAAAAAAAATAAATAAATAAAGTACCTTTCAATTGCTACAAAAAATTTGATAAATAGCGAGAATTTTCCATTACCAGAGGAAAAAGGGACAATTTCAAGGAATAACCTAGTGGAGATAGGGATGAATTATAAATTCAAACGTTTTATGTTCAAAACTTGATAACTCCTTTAATAAAATCAGATTATAAAAGATATATCTCTCATGAATTCGAGATTAGTCGAAGTGCGCATAAACTGACTCAAACAATCCTAATTGTAGTATCCAAAAAAAAAAAAAGAAGAACAACATATAATTGGAAATTACTAGACGATAGTAAGATGAAATTCATGATATATTCACTAGAAGATAGATGCATGCCTTTGAGACATTCAAAGCTTCTGGAGATAAGTGAAGAAGAACTTGGTGATATCTCTTTCTGTCATGCATTTATTGAAGCAACAAAAGGCTCCTTGGACCAGAGAGACCATAAAAGATTGAATTCAAAGAAATACCATGGCTGACCCGGCATTGTTGGATTACTAATCATTGTCACCCAACCCTTTTTGTATTAAAGACGATTCAATCAGTTGTAAATTTCATACCACCAATCACGTTATCCCTTTATGATACAGCTGTTAGAATTGGGATAGCCCAAGGGAAAATGACCCAAGGGAGAGCTCAACCCAGCCATCAGAAAGGGCTCGTTTTTGGACATGAGCAGATTGGCCCACTAAGGACAATGACTCATAATGCACTCGAGGCAGCCCATCGAGCTTGAGGGAGGACAAAAGGGAGAATTACTCGATTGGACCTCATCCGAAAAATAGCCATCAATCCTAACAAACAGAAGACCACCCCATTATGACGAGGGATCATTTTAGAGTAGGAGTATATAAGCAAACTCTTGTCCTCCAAGAAAGGGGAGAGCAATTGTATTCACTAAGGCAAATAATCGTCTCTTCTTTTTCTTCTTCTTTCTCCTAAAAACAATACAAATCATAAAATAAGAGACTCTATTAGAATAGACTAACCCAACTTTTCAACTGTGTTGTGAACCACTTATTTCTTCGCGTCTTTACTATAGTCATTCTACGTACATACATGCATAAATATTTAACCATTCCACATATAGAAGAGCTTTTTAGCCTTCCCTTCACTTGTACATCCAATTTTTTTGCATAATCAATTTATATATAAAAGCATCTTCGACCATTACCCAACTTAAATTTGAATAAAAACAAACTAAAAATAATTTCTAGTCCTTTACTCAAACTTACATCAAACAACAAAAAACTCAAATCAAGTAAAACTCAAAGCTTTAATGATCAAATTTTATCATTTTTTAAAGATCAAACGATCATATTTCACCTTCCTTTAAATTTAAATTTCTCTATTAAAGTGTTTTACATTAAATCAAATTTTTTAATCACATTTTAACTCAAATTTAAGTCAAGAATAAAGGTGGACTGACGAGTCCTCCTTGAATTCATGATAAATGATCAACTTTTGAGAAAAATGGAGAAAAAATTATCGGAGGAAATCTCACCATTTACTAGTGAGAGAGCCGTGAGTCCCTATTATAAGTTTGAGCAACCTTTTAGGCTTTGCTGATGGAGTGCTTCTATATGTTTTTGTCCTTTAATACGTTGTGCATATTAATTAGACAAACAATATGTCCTGTCTTCACTATGTTTCATCATTTTGAATAAAGAAAATTATTCATAGATAACTGCGTTTGCTTGCTCAAATAGGTTTTGCAAAACAGTTATGATCTCATGTATTTACCAAATATTTTACAAAATTTTATTTACCAAATTATCATGAATATCGGTCCCCTCCAAATTAACAAAAATTCAATATCCAGTATAAGATAAAGGAATTCAAATCCGCTTATAAATAGTGGATCCAACTTAAATTCAAGTGATCTTCTATTGAGGGAAACAGAGGAAAATAGTAACAGAATGGATCTCAATCCAAGAGAAAATTTTATGAAATATTGAGCTATTTTCAAATCTAAAAGTAGTAAGAGAAGTAAATCAATAGAAATAAAAAAAGGAGTTGGAAAGCAACAGACTGGCTAACTGATACTTGGCGTCTGTTGCAATCTAGCTATATATGTACCACCTTCCCCATGTACCAATGGAGTAAAAGATTACACTTACCAAAAAGGATTCATATCCCAATCAATTTTCAGTACTGTATATCTCGTTGCTCGCTCTGCTGCTTTCAGTTGTCTACCCCCAGCAAACTGCAGGAAAGAAAATGAACAAATTTCTCATCATTGATGGGCAAAAAATTGAGAAATTAACGGTACCCAATTTTCCCTAATGAAGAGATTCAACATTTCAACCTGTACATCGAGGTAATGCCCTACTGACCACCAGTGGGGGAATGGGGACTCGGACGCAGGTGCCAGCTATTCACCTCCTTATTATCAGGACTCTGGACCTTTTTCAACAGTGGTGAAATATCAGCTGCTCTACGTATAATACACAGACTGCACTTTCTTAGAAAAGATTTCACAACTGCTAAAAAAAAAAAAGGTAGATGTAGCTGCAAATTGGCTCATCGAGGATTGGAGACTCCGAACAATCCAGGTCACATTACATTGCAAACCATCAAATCAAAACAAGATAAACCAAAAAGATCTCCCGAGAAATGAGCTTAAGGCTATTCAACTGTACAGAGTACAAAAGTTATAGAACTATACAATTCGGGAAAGACCGATGAGATCTCAAACATGATAAAAAGCAGAGCAACACACCATCGAAGAAACACAAAATTACCTACCAGGTATGATCAATGATGCACCAAATTGAGAATTGATTTGGTGCAATTCAAAAGACAACATAACGCTCACCCTCATTTATCCATGACATGTTAAGAACCAATATTAACTCTCTCTAAGCTCCCAGTAATAAGCCAATTATCAATCCATCTTGTAAGCCCAGCCATGCCTACCCAAGAATGCTTGTACAGCCTCTTTTATGGCCAAATTGGGTACCAGTTGGGACAAAGTAAGTGGTTCATGGGTAACTGGGTCAAACTCCCCCACCTAAATTGGCATTAAATCAATGGTTAACACATACATGAAAATGGTGACAATAATTCAATTATGCAAAGCAAAACACGGTTTATCTTCTCCAGATGGTCAATGATCACGGCCCTCTCATATGTAATTCCACTGGGAGTAATGACAGGATCACGCAAAATGTCAAGCGCAATCTTACAACATAGATAGTCAGGTACCTGTAATCCTAAGTCAGAGTGACACGAAACACAATGCACTTGATTGAGAGGGAAAGAAAATTTAAGAGAAATGAGGCACTTGCTCACCTCTGTTGGTAAGTCAGGCTTCTGCAGCCTTCTTGAATACCTGCCCCAGAGCCTCCAATTGGTCTGAATTGGAGTTAGTAGCTTCATCTAAAAACTCTTCCATATGTAATTCATCAAATACATGTTTCTCTTTTAGAGCAATCTCACAAGCTTCTCTGAGACACAGATTAGAAAAAAGAATGAAGCGTGCCACAGCATAACAAACACAGTAAACTAATAGAACATTGAAAGCGTCACAAGAATTTAAGCACTGCCTGACATCCATTGATCAGAAGCCCAAACTCGACGAGGAAGGAGCACATATTTCAAATTTTGCAGTTCCCAAGAACGTGCAGTAGACTCATGCTCCCACTCCAAGTATTTTGCTTTAGCAAGCTCCTGCCATATCTCCTCTACCATGTAGCTCATAGGGTTTGCACCCCTACCAAGATCCAATGCCTAAATTTTAGGACAATCCTTCAAATCTTCAATACAATGTCTATCTCAATGAGAAGTCAGGAGGTAACTTATCTTATAAGAGTGTGCGAAATATGATTATAGGCAATACCGATGATAGCGATCATGATCATGACAGTGAGGAGGAATAGACACTGAGAATAATATTCCTCATAAAGTAAAAAATAGAAAGATAAATGAACAATGTTAAATAAAAGAGGCTGTGTCACGTTCAATATACACAAACTCTACAACAAACCACCTCAAATTTTAAAAGCTTCTGAAATCGATTGATTTTAAGTTTTCAAAATTCCAATGACTCCATTCTTACTGCCAATTGTAATATTTACATACATACCATAGAGATATAGTGCATCTATGCGCCTCAGTTTGTTTATTCGGGCAAAAACACGTCATTTCCATGAAACTGACAAAATTATCTAAAACAAGCCAAGAAAAAAACAACTCCACACTTTTTCCAAAGCCTTTGATTCCCTCAGCATAATCTTCCCTCTGTAGCAAAGCAAACCCTAGCATATAGTGAGCCTGTCATTGAGAAATACATGTCTTTAGGTCATTATTATACACACCCGAGCACGTGACTTTACTTATATCTGATTAACAGCAATTTGGGCTTTTCACAATTTGTTGACATAAGTTGTATCCATAGTCAGTGGCACAATCAATCAACCTATGAATTTTGTTCTTGATAACATCAACAACCCAGAAGCAATTGCACATAAGCCAAATTCAAACCCACCAAGTTAAGCAACTTATCCCACAATACAATTTGAAAATAAATGGTCAATGCTTTCATTATCACCTTTGCACATCACAAACATCAGATCCCTCAATTTAACCCACATACAACTAACAAAAATAATTAGACAACTATTAGAAATTGAATTCCTAGGGAATAGCTTCTCGATTCAAAATGTTGATAAGTTATGCGCTGCGAGATATACATTGACACCCAAAAACGGGGGAAATTAGTAGTGCAATTGTCATCAGTTACAACAGAAATTTAAAGCCGCAAGAGACAAGCTGAAAGTTCGAAGAGAAACTAAATATGCTATTACCACAATCTGTGCAGCCTTAATCCCTGCACTGTGTCAGCACAGAGTGCTTCTCAATCCCAAGAACATTGCAAGAGAATTTTAAAAATTCAGCGTCGCTTTAAGCCAGAAAGACTCTGAAGTTCTAGCAGCCGCTCGAGGGAAACTAAAGACCACCTATCCTCAGTTTGTGCAAATACTTTTTGATTGAGAGAGTCTATTATTATGCTTATGTTACCAAAGCCATAAATCTGGTGACCATCTTGCATTCTGCCGGGTTTAGGCTTAAATAGCAAACCATTCTGCTGTGCATGGACTTCAATAACTTCTTTCAAGCTCATCTCTAGCCCGCCACCCAAGCCCTCCATCTGGGTTACACTACCTACGCTTGCAGAAGTTCGTTGTTGAGCTTGCGCAGCTCCTTTTTGCTGAGCCTCAAATTGCCTTTGTTCAAGCACCCTGAGATAACTAATGTTCTCTCTCAAACCAGGTTGGACCACCTCCATGCCTTCAACAGCCTGATTCATCATGTCCAAACCCAAATTAAGCCGATATCGAATGTGTTCATTTGCCAGAAGCTCGGGTGGAAGAAGTTCCTTCCAACCCAAATACCATTGGGTCACTTGTTCAAAGTTTGGATTAGAGCATAACCAATGATACAAAACTTCTTGCCACTTGTTGAAGAACACGTCCATTAACGGAACCATATGGTGAATGGGAATGGCAGTGGCCCAAGTTCGAATCCAATAGAACGGATCAAGTTTCTGATCTGCTGGATTTATTTCAAAATCATGCATGACAGTCAACAATTTTGGAATGATATATCGGACCATTAGTTTTTCCCAGCTGGTTGGATCGAACACAGTCTTCCACGGTGACAATATATAGTAGGCAGACATATCACTAGGATGCCAAGCATGAAGAACGCTTTCCAATCTATTACGTATTGTATGATAGAGAGCCTCCAACTTCTGTCCCAATAATGGTAGCCATGGATGCACCCACGAATGGATAGGAATAGTTTCCCGACGTGGCTCCCATGACTCCACAGCAGCTGATAATTTTGGCAAAACTACATTGTCCAATATACTCTGGAGGATGGAAGGAGGCAGCAGCCTTTCCCAAGACTCCAAAAAATGAAGCATGGGTTCAGGGTCCCTAGCCTGCCAAGTATTGGTGCCAGTTATCCTCACAGCAGGGAACACAACTTCCATAAACAGCTGAGTGTAGGGTGAGGCTGCATCAGAGAAATCAAAGCAATCTTCACCCTGCAACAAATTCTTCCACAATGACATCACTTCCAATCCATGTTTTGGATTTTGAAGTGGGTCCCATCCCTGAAATACTCGAATAAACAAAGGCAGAGCAAATGAGCAAGCAATGCATGACAAATTACAAAGTTTGTAATCTTCAGCATATCTCCTCTGCAAGTCCCCAAATGACTTTGCAAGGGAGTCGAGAGTCAATTTTCCCAATGAATTCTCTGTGCCAATCTGGTCCAACACACTAACTATTTCTTCCGTACTATCCAGCTGTTTCTTTTGGCGAGCCGCATCAATTTGAAGCTTCTCCTTCTCCTTTTGCAATGTAACCACAGTCTCCCTCTCGTTTCTCAAATCTTGATCTATTTTCTGTATATCAAGCTCTGCTAAGTCAACAATCAATCTCACGTTATGCTGAAACTCAGGCATGGGGACATCGTTTTCCTTTGCTTTCTCTTCAGCATCCAAGTTCTCCAAATTTGTTAAAACACGAACCTGCGGTCCTCTCATATCAAAAACCTTCTGAACAACTTCCATGCCCTGCTCTTGCTTCTGGGCCAACAACTCTTCTGCCGTAACATAGACCTTCTTATTCTGCCGACCTTGCTTTGACCAAAGCTTCTCTTTTGAGAGACCCTCCATGGCCTTAGCCACATTAGGCAACGACTTCTTCTCCTCTACTTCCTGCAATGCTGGCAAATCAGACTTTCCATAACCCATTCCCATAAGCTTTGGCCGCAACTTAGCCTCAATAGGAGAAACAATACCTTGCTCGTTTTTACCAAGCCCACCTCCTTTGTAACCCATCTTCTCAAGTAACTTTCTCCCGATCCCTTTGGTGTGCTCCTCAAATCGACCAACACCACCAAGCTCCGGTTCTCTCCTTCCCACTTGGGTGGCTTTCTTGGCCAATCTGGACTTCTCCTTTTCCCTCTCACGGCGCCGCTCTGCGCCTTCCCTGATCTTCTTTCAAAAAGCTGTTGGTAGAAAGACATCTCCATCATCTTCTTGGTCGGCTCCATTTTCAACCACTGCAATCCTGGAAGCACTGGAATGAAAGCCTAGGCCAGAAGACCCAGAGCTGGATGCTCCGAGCCCCAAACTAGAAGTCTTGTTCTCCTCCTCAGCAGCATCAACATTCTCCTCTTTCAAATTGTCATCAATTTCTTGGTTGGGCATGACAGTGCCAGTGGATACGAAATTGACAGGCTTGGTGAAGTCCGATTTCTTAGAGAGATCTTTCCTTCGCTTCCTTGAACTAGAGCCTCCCCCGTTGTCAGAGTCACTGTCATCAGAGGCAAAGACACCATAGAGGACGTCGTCTTTGGTCTGAAGGCGTTTGTCTTTTCGCTTCCGGTAGTAAAATTCCCCACCAATCCACTGACCGTCTTCGTAATCGTTCTCCATCCCAAACTTCTCCATTTCTTGATAATCCACCATACTCTTCTGTTTTTCACTGAAACAAATACATGAAATAATAAATGCTATTGCAAAAAAGTTTTTCCAAACCAAAACAAGTAGTAGAAACTGGAAAGAACTCAAAAACCCAATTATAATCAAAGTCAATCACATGCTTATATCTACATAAAATTAAGCGATTTTGGTTTTTCATTGAATTAAACATAACCCACTGCAAAGAAATCACAAATAAACAAAACCCATATCACCAAAACGTCAAAATTAAACAAAACCCACCTCAAAAAATAATATAATATTATGCAAAAGGCAAACCCAAAAAATAATTAATGTATAACCAAACAATTCAAAATCAAAGGAAAATTTCGTAGACAGTTACCTCAGATTTTGGTTGGGTCAGAACCTCGAGTTCCAAGAAGAAGATTGCTTCTCTTACCAAGATTGAATATTGCAAGAAGATTGCTTCTCTTACATCTTAAAACAAAGAAGAATGTGACGGTGGCGGGACGAGAGAGAGTTGCCCGTATCGCCGTTGCGCAGGTCGGTCACACAACCAGCTTAAGCTCGCATAAATCTTAGGCTTTTCGAAGGCGATTTCTTCTTCCCAAGCCAGACTAAGTTTTACTTTTTCTTTTTTTTTTTTTAAATAACTACTCCCAGACTCACGAGACTATCCTCACATTTAAAATATTACACACAAATTCCTTAAAATTTGTACGTGCATAAAACATAGACCCTACATTGTTACTACTATGATGCACGGACACGGACACGGACCTATGTAATTTTTCAAAAAAATAGGACTAAGGACACGTTGAATAAATATATTCAAAAATATATTTTATAAGCCTATATAATCCAAACCCAACATTTTTTGATCAAATTATATATTAAAATAACCAAACCACCACATTATCACTAAATAGCATAGTAATTAAATAACAGTAAGTCAGTGAGCATAACACGTTGAACAAAAAAGCAGGCAGCAGCAAAAACAGCAACAAAAACAGCAGCAACAAAAATAGCAGGCAGCAGCAAAAACAGCAGGGTTTGCAGCAGCAAAAACAACAGGTTGCAGCCGCAAAAAACAGGAAAAAAAAATAGCAGACAGGAGAAATCTGAAAACCCTAACAGAACAAGCCCTAAAGAGAGATGAGAATCACATCTTATTGAAGAAAAAATGGTGTAAATAAGAAGAAAATATCATGGGTAGTTCAGATTGAAGGTTACCTGTGATGGAGAAATCTGGTGGAGAGAAGAAATCTGCTGGACTGTCGACTTGCTGGAGGGAAGAAACAACGTCGCCGGAGTGGTTGGGCTCTCCTCCCTTGGCTTGACAGAGAACTAACGTCGGTGTTTTTTTTTTTGGTTAGTCTCATTTTATACTCCGAAAGATAGTTCAAATTTAATTTGTACCCTAAATCTCAATTTAATCTTGTATCCCTCAAAGATCAAAAATCTCAATTTATACCTTAAAAATAGAAATTTGTATCAATGTGCACCCAAAGATCAAAAATTTCAATTTGTACCCTCAAAGATAGAAATTTGTATCAATGTGCACCCCCAAAGATAAAAAATCTCAATCAACAATTTACCCTCAAAGATAGAAATTTATATCAATGTGCACCCCAAAGATAAAAAATCTCAATTTGCACTTTCAAATATAAAAATTTGTATCATTATGCACCTAAAACTAAATTGATAAATTATACCTAGATCCTCTCATGTTTGTCACTTAATCATTTGAACCTCTTTACATTTAGAATATTACTCCTACATCTCATGACATTTATGCACGTACAACATGTAACCCATTTTCATTGATATCTGTTAATATAACCGTTAAAAACTATAATTTTATCCTAATAAAAAATTATAATTTCATATTACCCTTATTTTATGGGTCCAATATACTCTAAAGTTCAAAATCAAGCTTACCATTTGAATGTCTAATAAAATGTAGATATTTATATAATGTTTTTCATATTTTCCTTTTTATAAATATCTACATTCTATTAGACATTCAAATGATAAGCTTGATTTTGAACTTTAGAGTATATCGAATCCACAAAATCAAGGGTAATATGAAATTATAATTATTTATTAGGATAAAATCATATTTTTTAACGATTATATTAATAGATATCAACGAAAAGTGGTTATGTTTACACATGTACAAACGTCATGAGATGTAGGGGTAATATTCTAAATGTGAAGGGGTTCAAATGATTAAGTGACAAACATGAGGGGATCTAGGTATAATTTATCATTTTAGTTTTAGGTGCACATTAATACAGATTTCTATCTTTGAGGGTGCAAATTGAGATTTTTGATCTTTGGGGGTGTACATTGATACAAATTTCTATTTTTGAGGGTGCAAATTAATATTTTTGATCTTTGGGGGTGTACATTGATATAATTTTCTATCTTTGAGAGTGCAAATTGAAATTTTTAATTTTTGAGGATATAAATTGAGATTCAAACGATCTTTCGGAGTGCAAAATGAGATTAACCCTTTTTTTTTCTTCGTGTTCTCTCATAAAGAGTATAAGAAATATAAATTTCTTTTTTAACTCCTAGTTTTTTAGGTTTTTTATTTTTTGGCCCTTTTACTTTTATATAAACTACAAAAAAAATCCCATATTTTAATTTTAAAATTATAAAATGACCCTTAAACATGTCCAAACCATAGTTTTAAAATCCGGCTCGACCATAAGCCCAGAAAAGGGACTCGGTCAATGGATCACTGATTCAACCGTTGGATCATTGGTTGGACCGGTAATAAAATAAAAAAATAAAAAATAAATATTAATGATAATAAATAGGCTAAAAAATTGTACTAATTATAAAAATAATATGGTTAATGTATATTACATCAAACCCAAAATCTAAAATCATCAAACATGCATCCAATGCATTCAATTTTCATATAAATTTTAAGTAGAGAAAAATACATCTATGACAACAGTGACTTAGGTTTATTTCATATTAGTTAACATCAAGTCCAATTAGAATTACTTGTTACCATGTGGATTAATCTAACACAATTAATCTGCCAACCAGTTTTCAAAATTTAGCAAACATTTGTACAAAACATTTCTTAATAATGGATATAAACATTTCCTATTATCTAACACAATCCAACAATGGTTCATTTCTCAATGGGTCAGTACAAAACATGTTTTGAAATGTATGTTGAATCTAATTTTAAGTTCAATTCTTGTTTATTTGAATCATGATCTTAAATCTGGAGGGCTACTAAAGTTTTTTAATTTTAGTGTTTGTAACTTGAAAGTGTAAGTGTGGTGACGGTTATATCAAAATAGGCAAAAAATCTAAAATTGAAAATGTGATAATCAATATTCAAATTGATCCCAAATTTATACCCAACAAATGTGAAACATCAGACAAGCACAGAGAGAGAGAGAGAGAGAGAGAGAGAGATGTACTTGTTGGAGTGTTAAGTGGAGGAAATGTGTAGACTCAACTAAGTGAAAAGCCAAATCGTCAATGAAGGAGGTGAAGAATCGCAATAGGTCGTAGTTTCTTCACTTTTTCTGCCTTCGTCTGTTCGTCATTCTTACCTACCAAGCCACCACAATCGCTAATCGCAAGCTTGCAAGGCACAGAGAGAGAGGCTGGTTGGGTATTCTTCATCGAGGAGCCGAGGGTTCAAGAGAGTTTGGCTATCTTTGTTTCAAGAAAGGAAAAGCAATTAGGGCAAAAATACCCAAAGTTTGGTTTTTATATCATTTTAAAATACCCGCCCAGTTTGGCATAACCCGTCCGGTTTGAACAATTTCGTTAAAAATCGGCCGGTTCAATGGGTCATTAACAGTTCCCATGCTTAACCGATCTAAGAGCAACTCCAAAAGGAGGTGTCATTCTAAGGTGTCAAATCAGGCATTTGCAATCTTGAACAACGTTTTGGTATCCTTGAATTATAAATATACTCCAATGACAAGTGCAAAAATTGGATGCCATTTTAATATTTTAATATTTTTTATTAACAAATATAATAAAACTTAATGATTATATTTTAACGGGTATAGTTTTCATAATGATCGTAATTTAACAGATATATTTTTATAATAAAAATTTTAAATTTCAAAACGGTGTCGTTCATAAGCAAATCAGTGAAAGAACTGTTAAATTACGAATCCATCTACAAAAAAAAATATAATCAATTTAAAGAATGAGCATAAAATAATCAATCAAAAAATAAATAAAATTACCCTTAATTAAAACAAATAAATCTGTCATAAATTATAAATAAATTATAAATTATAAATTAAAACATGAGCAAGGGTGGCAGATGTAATTATAAATTACAACGCCTTCCCCTTCCCCTTCCCCTAAATAAAACGCTTCCTATCATTTCCCTTTCCAGAACGTCTGTTTCCCTTCCCTTGCGCCCTCTGTAACTTACAACGACAATAGCAAGCAATTTTCAGGCAACGACAAGCGATTCCCAACCTCCTACCCTTTCTCTGCGATTCCCAAAACGCCTCTGTGTCTCCGCGTCTCTTTCCAACGATTGAAGAAAAATTAGAGTAAAAATCTGGTAAATTTTCTTTTCAAATTTTCTGTATTTGTAAAAAAATTTTGTTGAATATAACTGTTGAAAGAGCGATTGAGATTGAACAGTGATTTTGCAACATCTCCCTTTCTCTCTCCAGAATTGTCAAAAATGTCACCCCAAGACCCTTGATGCCACCCCCATTCGAGTCTGAATTTTTGAATTTTGGGTGGCATTTTAGCGGTAATGGAGATGTCATCCCTGATGGTAACTACATTTGGAGTTGTTGTAACCGGCCCGATTTGGAGTCCGGTTCATTGGGTCAACCCGTTGGGCCGAGCCGGATTTTAAAACGTTGGTTCAAACGTGTTCATTGTGTGTCCGAATTTGAAAAATTAAAAAAAAATTGGACACTCTAATTAACGTGTCCTGAACGTGTTCGTGTCCCAAACGTGTCGGACACAAATACGTGAGCCAAAATTGAGTGTCCGTGCTTCATAGGTCGTTAGTTTATACATTAGTAAATTTTATTCAGATCCTTGAAATTTAAAACTTATAATGTTTAGATTTTTCAAGTTTAAAATATTACATTTAGATAAAAAAAAATACTCCAATTAAAAAGAATCAAATATTTTAAATTTTATAACTAAAATTTATATTCTATTATGTCATTTATTGAAATAAAATCAAAAATAAAAATTCAATTTTTTCTTACAAAAATCATAATTAATACTGTTGATATCAAATTTCGAACGATCTAAACGTCAATTTGTTGGGCTTCGATCACTGGGAAAAAGGTCCAAAATTGGAGGAGAGCTCTGGGGGTCGACTCTCTAATACTAAGTTAGTAAGTGATTCAAAGATATAAATTGTGATTAAAAACTAAGTTGAGCATCAATGAAGCTCTATTTATAGAAGTTTTAACAGTTTGAATTGTGCAGAGATAATGATTAAAAAACTAATCAATCATAGAAAGAAAAGAATTATGTCCTTATAAAGTATCTTTATATGCTAATTTGATGTTATCCGTGTTGTTAAATTTAACTTATTCATGATATGCAGAATCTTATTCAAATTAAAATTCTTAACAAAGTGGGTTTGACTTTTTATCTTGGGTTAATGTTTTTATTATCAAGTACAAAAATATGAAATAAGCCTAATCAACACATTTGCATGCTCTATTATATCATCTATTGATATAAAAACCAATCAAAATTCTAATTTTTTGAGGAAAAAATAATAATCAGTATAAATATATCAAATAACTCAATTCGAAATTTATTTGCATATAATTATACTGTCTATTAGAATAAAACTAAAAAATTAAACAAGAAGTCAAACTGTAATGAACACAATATATTATATCTTTAATTAAAGGAATGTGGTCATTTAATATATTCTGTAAGTTTCGTAACTAATAAGAGGTGTAAGTATAATATTTTAAACTTAAGAGGTCTAAGTATTACACGCCTATAAATTTCAAAGGATTTGAGTATAATTTAGTAATAGATATACATTCAAGTTATAGCCAAAAATAATAAATTAATTATTTATATATTAGTCAATTTTACGCCTATAAATTTCAGAGGCTTTGAGTGTAATTTTGTAATAGATATACATTCAATTTATAGCCAAAAACAATAAATTAATTATTTATATATTACTCAATTTTAAGTGTTTTACATAAAATATTCATACTCAAGTTTATTAAAATAAATCACAAAAATATAATTTGAAAACTTTTATTTTTCAAGGTGTTATTTAAAAATCTTTTAAGGTACAAAATATTATTTACCCAGTATTTGTATGTTATTC